CAGTCCTCTAGACAGAAATTGTCCGACTACTCAGTTCTGTTCAAAACTACGTTGCCATCGATCAAACGGAGAAATTGTGAATAATCCGTAGGAGATTTGTCGAAGTTTCGACTTGTGCGATTCAGTGGACTACCGTTGCCAGTGTGGACATTGTCGTGGTTGAACTTTTTTATCGTGAGAACTCTCTCTCCCTATCCCTCCCTTTCTTTTTCTCTAATCCCGAGAGTCCTGTCTCTTATCACGGGCAGTGTTGCGCGTGTGATTTAGGAAGCTCGTCGGGAACGACGAAAGAGAAGAGGGAGAAGATCGCCCGACGATGAAAAATGTCGGCGAAACTTGAAACGATGAAAAATCGCCTCCTCCACCGCCGTCGCCTCCGTCGTGAGCGACCCGAGAATTCGCGAACTCGCGTTAGCCGGATGAACTTCGTCGGCGAGTCGGCGAAACATCCCGTCGTACCCTCCACGAAGCGATGTATCTTCGTTCGTTCATGAGTACCCTCGAAGACGCCTCGCGCGAATTTCCCGATACTCATGTTGGATTCCATGCCCGATATTTACCGATAACCGGTGATATCTCGCGAAAACAGGACGGTAAAAGGCACGGTGTCGTCGTTTAGCGCGAAATTTTCGACGGTGGTGGAACGTCTTGGGTATGAAGCGATATAAGCAACGAATTTTATATAGTAAAAATTACCGTACAATTTTGCAAATGAGGAACATACCGATTAGAAGTTTATCCAATTCTGAAGTGCTATTATGGACTTATTCAGAACGGATTCCGATCGGAAAAATTCCGTTTTCCCGAAATACAATAGAAATCTAAAGTATAACTGAATTATTCCAATCGGAATTCACTTCAAATAAATATAATATAATAATAATCCATAAAAAGCATCCTTGATCAGTTTGATCCCAATTAATCATTTGGTTTGTTTAAGACGATTTTATCGGGTTCTAATTATTAATGAAGTCTTAATTATTAATAATTTTAATTATTAATAATGATCCGATGGCCACGTTGTTTTACATAATTTATAAGGACCTGAAACATCAGCTTATATAAAGCAGATAACTAATTGGGATTAACCTGACGACTGTGGAACAAATTTCTAGTCAAAGTGTTGACATTCTACTCCTCGATTTATTAGATATCCGCGTCATATGTGCTACCAGATCTGTAAATATGAAACCGGAATTTGCCCATAGATGGCCCTAGCTGTCAATGTAGTTACCGTCAAACCGCGTCATTGGCGCCATTTCCTTGTTGACATATCTGACAAAGATTTTCAACTCACAACAATACAAGTTTCATACAACAGCATAGTTTGTAATAGCGTTGAACATGTCGAATTTTGTGCCTGGAAACTACGATTTGCGGACAGCATTGATTTTCTGTTACCATTTGAAGAAAACTGCTACAGAATCGCATCGAATGCTTGTCGAAGCTTACGGTGAGCATGCTCTTGGTAAATCATAGTGCTTTGAGTGGTTTAAAAAATTCAAAAGTGGCGATTTTGACGTGAGAAACGAAGAACGTGGAAGACCACCGAAAAAGTTTGAAGACAGCGAATTGCAAGCATTGTTGAATTAAATGTGACACGAGAAGCCGTCTCCATACGTTTGAAAGCCATGGGAAAGATCCAGAAGATGGGAAAATGGGTCCCATATGAACTGAATGAAAGACAGCAGGAAAACCGAAAAACCACTTGCGAAATGCTGCTCGCCAGGTACAAAAGAAAGTCATTTCTCCATCGAATTGTGACTGGCGATAAAAAGTGGATATATTTTGAGAATCCTAAGCGTAAAAGATTATGGGTAACTCCAGGCGAACCATCGACATCTACTGCAAGGCTAAATCGCTATGGACGGAAGACAATGCTTTGTGTTTGATAGGATCAGAAGAGTGTGATCTATTATGAGCTGCTAAAACCTGGCTAAACCGTTAATACTGAATGCTACCGACAACAAATGATCGATTTGAATCAAGCTTTGCGTGAAAAACGACCAGAATATAAAAAAGGCAACACAAAGTGATTTTGCTTCATGATAATGCACCATCACACACAGCAAAACTGGTCAAGGAAACGATTGAGGCGTTTAGTTGAGAAATACTTTCGCATGCGGCTTACTCACCAGACTTGGCTCCATCCGATTACTATTTATTTGCATTGATGGGACACGCACTTGCTAAGCAGCGCTTCACTTCTTACGAAAATGTACGAAAATGGCTCGATGACTGGTTTGCCTCAAAAGAGCAACAGTTTTTTTGGCGTGGCATTCACAAATTGTCAGACAGGTGGGAAAAATGTATAACTAGCGATGGGCAATATTTCGAATAAAATATTTTTTATCATTTTCATACAATAAACGTGTATTTTCTATACAAAAATTCCGGCTTCATATTTACTTATTGCCTTAAGAACTGAAGTTTATTACTAAAAAAAATTTACTATGTTCCTTAGCAAGATAAATTCTACTGACGGTCTTGTCAGTATTTTTGCACTACTAGAAAACGTATAATAAGATCGAGAAGAATTTATATGAGGAATTATAATATTCTCTGTATAGAATATTAGAATATATATAGAAGAACACTCACATTTCAATCTATTAATAAATAATAGAGCGAACCAAACATTTTGTTCGTAGAAATTGACAAAGTCCAGTGATAAAACCGTAGCCAAGAAATAAGAAAATGTTTCCAAAATTTGCTTTCTGCAACTTCATTCTCACCTAAATTCCGTCTTTCGATTGCGACATGGCACTCAAGATGTCGATTTCTCACGAGGATATCCGGTTAATGTACGAGCGGGAACAAGCGAGAGCCCGAAACGTTCGACGAACGGATTCGAAATGAAGATTCCGCGAGAAAATGAATGAAAGGGAGGATTCGCGAAATCTCGCGTATCGGAGGATCGCGTGCGAAACGAGATGACGCGATCGACGCGTGGTTTACCGCAATTGAGATTGAAGCTGCCGAAGAGACATCGCCGTCACGCGCTGAACGTTGCGGAGCTCGTCGTTATTTCGACGATGGGAACCGATTATGACGGACGACCCTTCGCCAGGCTGACATCCGGTGCGGATGTGTGTCCTCTGACGCTTATATGGAAAATCCTTGAACGCGTTTCTACCATACGCTGAGACGGCGGGACGAGGCGAAACAAGAATGGGAAACAAGATCGATTAGTCCCCTTCGTCACGCGGCTCTCTCTTTTTCTTCTCTTTTGTTCATGAAAGAAGCGAAAAGTGCGGCACGTCCGATAAATGTTATTCACGGGGGAAGTATTTTTCTCTTCTTCACTCTCTGTCTATCTATCGACCTATCTATCTCTCTCTTCCTCTCTCGCAGCCGTCAATATCAACCCACATTATTCTAAACGCGCTTTCGATGACCCAGCGGAAATGAGCAATCGAGTAAGAAGGAGTAAGAGGGTGAGAGTTTATTCGTGGAGTCTCAGAATCAACGGCAATTTCGTGGGGATTCGGCCGTGGACGAAAAGGAGGAATAGCCGGAGCAGGTGGCAGTGGAAACTTTTATTTCTGTCGCGATCTAAAGAAATCTTCCCGAGATCTTTGGAATACAGTCGGGAGTGCAGCCGTGCCGCGCAGCCGAGGCTCGGCTCGCATCTGCAAGAAACGAATCGACTTTCCCGCCGCCGTTGCCGGACGTCGGAGTAACGCGCAACGCTCCGGGGATTACGACGAGAGCTATAAATCATCTCAATGTGCACCCTTTTAAAGATTATTAATAGTCCGCGAGCGTGAGTAACAATGTACAATCCTCGCGCGAGAGAATAAATTAGTAGCTAATTCCCGTTTCAGTTGTGATGCTCGCGGTATTTCCCACGTCATACGGATGATAAAACGGTAAAGGGATGATCGAGAGATAGCACGAGTGAATAATGACGAAGAACACTGACAATGGAACCTCATCACAGATCGAACACTCGGATTCCACTTCTTTTGGATTTATTCGATTCAGTTTCTCTTGTTTTCTGGCAACCGCTTTTTTATGGTAATTCGAAATAATCGAGAAATCGGATAAAAATCCCGGAACCTCAAATGGCTAGTGCGTTTTGAAAAAGATGCGATCACAGTTATTTGTGTCACTTCTCCGTACTCTCGGGGAACATGAAGTTTATAATACAACTTGCGTGGCCGGGAAGAACGCTTCCACACGCGCCATTCCTTTCAATTGTGATCATTCGATTGGCGTCAATGAAAGCAAAGCTCGAACTACATGTATTGATGTTTTTTTTCTGTGTTTACAAAGCGTCTAAATCGCAACACTTGCGGCGCGAAATCAAACAATGCGTCTTTCAATCTCGCGCTTTGTAAACACGGAAAAGGAAACAGTCATTTGATTTAAGATTATTTTTCATTATTGCGTTATGTGCAACATGTTGACTCTTAATGAAATAAAACGTGGCCACATTATTGGGATGGCAAGGAGAAAAATAATTTTGTTCTTTTAGTAAAATCGTCGTTGCTACTGCATATTTGTAGTGACATCAAAAAAATTTAGTTGTGTAACTAATTTTACAAATTATTCGTTATCACAGCAGAAGTAGTTTCGTTGCCATGATAGAAAAAATTGGTTGAGCATATTTTTTTAAAGATTCACGTTCATTTGTTATTGATGCAAAATAATGTATCCTTAGCAAATTTATTTGCTATCGGAGCAAAACTGTAACTGCTTATATAAATCCATTATAATTCTTATAGCAAAGTAATTTGTAGATTCAGCAAATTATATCCAGCAAATAGTGATTAGTACTCTTAGCAAATCTTTCTGCTGTCCATATAATAATGAAAAGATTTTGCTAGATCAGCAGAAAATTTGCTGGGCCAGCAAATTATTTTTCTCCGTGTAGGAAAATAATGTCGCACCATCCTATTTTCGGAAATCGAAAACGACTTTGCTGTCGACACTGCGCTGGACCCAGATTCATCGTGCCTCATGTAAGAGACGATAAGAAAGAACGAGACACTCACCTAATGGCGTTGAATATCTCATGAAAGCCGGTGCCCTGGTGACTGGCGACGTCACAAGTCGGCAAGGGATGCAGCAGGGGTAGTCGGTGGCACAGCACGCTGTCGCTGTTCCTCTTGCTGCTGCTGTTGCTGTCGCGGTCTCGCTCGTTTTGCGGCAGCGGCCCATTGCCAGTGCCAGGGGCTGGGCCCAAGCCGAGTCCCAGAGGAAGACGCGGCAAGGTGGCAGGTCGCGTGAGACTGCCATAAGCGGCCAGGGCGCCCCTCGGCAAGGACGAGTAGCAGCGGTTCAGCGGTAAGGTGCCAAGGGTGCTGGAAGCGCAGCCGCTGCTGCCCGAGCCGGAACCTGAGCCTGCGTGATATCACGTGCGATTTGATGAAATCGAACCAAATCAGAGAGTGGCGTTGCTGTGGTTGGATCATCGACATATGAATATCTGGACGAAATATGTATTGTTAATTAATTAACACTTTACCTTCAAATGGCGTTTATGTCTCTTGTGTCATGATATACAATGTTGAATACTGAATATAAATTAGAATTACGCGCAACTACGTACTGTGGGTTTTATGGAAATCTATATTAATTATATGTCTCGTGTAGACGTTATATACACATAGACGCGACATAAAATAAAAAATAATAAACATATGAAAGATTATTCTTGATTGAATCGTACGTCAAGAGATTAAGATAAGGAGAGGATTTCTACTAAGGAGAACATAATTATTTAATTAGTATATGTCTTACAACGTATTGATGTGGCAAATATCTCTTTCAAAATACTACTTTTGTTCATTGCAAACGTTATAGTTCTAATGATTTAATATACAGCTAAATATTTTCGCAAAAGCCGCGGAAGTGCCATAACCTTTTCCTCGCAAAATGTTTCGTCCAGATATTTACATGTGTTTGGATAAATGTCGAATTTCGGGGGTAAAACGTATCGTCGAGTTAGTACAAAATACGAGATCTGCGATTATAAAATTTTCTGTATTTACTTTAATTTGTATCGGATGAAATAAAAGGAGGAATTAAACTGTGAGTGTAATCAATTTCGTTAATATTGATATATTAAAGTCAGAAAATAATCCAGAAATAAATATGAGATATCGAAACAACGAGTGTAACACGTTATTCTTCCCGCGATTGCCTCGAAAGTAAAGTTAAATAGGTACGCGTAAAAACGTTTTACGCGACAGACAAGGGAAAGCGAGTTGGTGCAAGGGGGCGAGAAATTGAAAAAGCGAAAGACGGAGTTTATGGAGGGTGCTTTGCTTCTCTCGCAGCGCGGACGACGTGACGACGATGCGTAACTTTTTATGGGAGAGGGGGAGGGGGAGCTCAATTTCCGCACTTGCCTTATCGATAGTAACCTTTACTCTTTTCCGACAATATACGGAATATAGTCGATGTCATAGCCGCTGCCGAATTTGTTTAGAAGTTTGTTTGCGGCGGGAAATGTATCGCGGTCGCGATGAAATTGAGTAGTTTCGGCGACAACAAGCCAATATTCGAAATAGACTTCTTTTTCTACCCAGTTCAAATATAAATGATAAATATACATATAAAATAATAAAATATATATATAAAATAATAAATAAAATATATGTAAGTCGTTAGATTTTGAATTATCGTCATAATATCTAACGAACGACTCTTATTGGTAAATGTTTCTTACTATAGTTGCATATCTTAAAAGTAATAAAAAGAAAAAAAAAATATATATATATAATTTATATCATTAATTATATATGTATATAATATTATATATCATTAATTATATATGTATATAATATTATATATCATATACACTGACAAGAAAAATATTTGGAAAATAAGAAATATTTTACCCGATGAAGATACTAATAACACATTTATTTAAACCTAAATTCTTTTACTGAAATATAACAAACAGTTGCTTTTATGAGAAGTTAAAGTTTTAAGAAACTTTTAAGAAAATATATACGTCTTTATTTGAAAAATATTTTATATTAGTATAAATAAACACGTTATTATAATAACAGACAAATGAAAATTTTTTATTTTTTAAATATTTTTTCTCTCAGTGTGTGTAATAGTAATTATATAATATTAAACTCTTAATTACTGAGTATCATCAATTTTCATTGGTTAAAATTGAAGATCGGATTAGGAGTTAAGGTCCGTGTAAATTAGAAAAAGAAGAGATTTTTCACATAATCACGTTACAATACAATTGTTAGAAACACGGGACGTATGTCACAACAGTCATTGGAATAAGAAGAAGAAACACGTAACTCATATCAATACCCTGAGACAAGAACACGCAGGACGTTATCGTTGTTATCGTTGGACGACCCGAATCACAGACAAAAGCTACGACGATATAGCAAATGCGAAACGCGACGAGCGGCGCAACTTGGACCTCGAAAATCCCATGTGACCCCGACAAGTACCCCGAAATCCTCCCTTTTTCCGTTTTTCGTGCGAGACTCCTCTGGTTGCCGGGGTAACGATGCAGCCATGCCGTGGCCCGGCCCGGGCGGCGGATCCGCGTTACGTGCACCGGAGGATTTTATCGATGTCAAACTCGCGCATAGCCGCGGTATAACGTGTTCTGTAATCTGGCCCGCTATAACGCGATCAATCAACGGTAGTCAGGTAGCGCGGTTTATCCAGGCGGAGTACACCACGTACGATAATCGTGCCGCCGCACCGCGCCGCTACAACGAGCTCTGCGTGTAATTACTAATTAAATTACGGAATGTTTATCGCTATTTCGAGAGCACACCGAGAGCACATCGCGTCCGTCTAGAATTGCGCGGCTGAATGCGGCGCAGTGGCGATGGCGTGGATGAACATCAAAATACCGCACCCCCCCTTCACCCTTTCCCGCGCAATTCCACGATAAACCTTATTGTTACAATGCACGACTATTAACTGCACGTCGCGTTATCTCTTGCGAGTGAAAATGCTGGAAACTGTGCGCCCTTGGTCAGTATGATTTTCATTCATTTTATATACAATGTAATTAAACTAATTATTATATAAGAAATTAATTTTCACTTCGTGCAAGTAAATATCCTGAATTCTCTTTGTAATATTATATCTAATGATATATTTTTTGATGAAATACATACACATACGAGATATGCGAGTTATACTAAGAGAATTATATATATTTTTCTATATATAAATTCCTTTTAATTTTTCTATATTTTCTAATAGTATAAGAATAGACTTAGCAGAGTTCATATATTCGCTAAGGAACATACGATAAAAAGGCTCTTATAAGCTTTTAGCCCTATTTTATGGCGTTCGACATTTTAAATTATTTTTGGATAAAATTGTAGCTATTGAAGAGTAGATTAAAGATATATAAATATCAAATTGATGCGCCTCACCATTTGGGAGAAAGTGGCCCAAAAAAATAAGTATTCTGCCAAACTTTGATACTTATAATATCTTTAATCTACTTATGAATAGCTTAGAGCAGTAAGTTGAAAATAACAAATCATTTGTTCCCTACGGGAATCATTTGTTATCCCATATAACAAATTATTTGTTATATAGTATTTTGTTAAATTAGCGAGACCTGTTTCAGTGTACTCGAAATGGAAAGATAATAAAGCGAAACTCGCGTTGATATGTTCTTCGGTTACAAAGGCAGCAATTGAATATTTGGTAGTAATTTATACTCCAAATCTCCAATTATATTTGTAATTCTCTGCAATATTATACTCAAAGATATCCTTTGATACAACATTCACGAGATGCGAACTAACAAGTGTAATTGTAAAAGACGTCGAAGAAAGTACGATTGAAGGAAAAACATCGGGGAACTCGATAGGGAGAATCTCCCTAATTAGTGAAATCGAGAAACTCAAACGATAATTCCAACTTTTCTTCTTTCCATCTTTCTTTCCTTCTTTCTCACGTAAATAGCAACGATCTGCCTCTCTCGCAATTGTATGTGAAGTGCAACAATCGCTTGGTCGAACGATTACTTAGCCAAACTCCTTTCCGCAAATATAAACAAAACGCTTGGATTCTCACAATTTCCGACGGTTTTTATACCTCGCACTCTGTCCCTCCCAGGCATTCGCAGCTACGCCGCTGTTATACGCCCTATAACGTTAACGTCGGGCTCCGAGCGCTCGTCGGAGACCGTACCCGCCGTCCAGGCGAGCTCTAATTTGGATTCGAGCGTAGTTAACAAACTCCTTTTTGGACGTGATCTCGTGCGGGGCTACATATACGCTGCGCGCCGGGGAAAATTAGACGTCGTGTGGAAATTCGAGGAAAGCGGCCCGCGAGCATCGTGGTGAATATTAATTCGAAAGAAAGAGAGAGAGAGAGAGAGAGAGAGAGAGAGAGAGAGAGAGAGAGAGAAAGAGAGAGAGAGAATGCCCGGCCGTTCCTTAATTCCGTCGTTTCAGAGTCATTCGAATGCTCTGGATTCTGGTCTAATGTTCACGTGTCAATCGCGATCGGTTCGTCTTACTTTAAAGGTACAATTTTTTCACTTGTATTTCATTAAATACATTGATATACTGTAATTTTAGCAAAACAAAAAATTAAAAGTTCTATGTTTGGCGCCAAAGAGATAGGATCGAGACACGGATGTGTCCCCACTGGGGGACATCATTTTTAGGGGATATTTGTCCCAACTTATGTGCAATAAGTAGAGTGATAGCTGATGTATGTGGTAGTGTGTGATGGTTTTGAATGTTAAAAAGGCAGTTTATTAAATTGAATAAGGTTACTATTAATGGTAGGAAAACATGTCGTTAGTGAAAGGATAACATACATATTAAGAAGCAGTTGCTCGTTATTAATTACCGGTTCACTAGCTGCTGTCGTTGATGAATCTCCCGTACATGCAATGCGGCATGACAGAAGTAGATTACGGTAATTTTATCTAGTCCGGAGGATATAGTCACGTATATTACACATCCCTTAAATTCGATCCGACAAACGACGACGACGGGTCCCTGGATAGGTTTAGTCGGCTGGATTTCAGTGCCGTATCGTTTCCGCCTTATTCAAAGCCAGACGCTTCCGTTCGTCTCCGGTTACGTTCGTAACATACAAGGCGTATACTTAGCCTAACCCGTCGGATTAATTACGCGTCGTCTACCCAGTGACGAGAAAGTCGTGTCTGCGCGTCGACGGCGAAGATTTACGTCTTCGCTCGCGACGAACGATATCTAGCCTTTGTCGGTGGATAGTTCTCTGTCTCTCTCTCGCGTCCTCCGGAGAATTTCCAAGTTAAGCTGCTAATAAGTGTTAACTTTTGTTCGCGAAGTTCGTGCGTGCTACTCTCTTACACTGATCCGAGAAGTATCGAAAAAAACTTTTAATGACAT